TCCAGACCCTCCTCACGGGGATGGTGCTGCAAAGCCGAGGCCCGGCCTGGTCCGTGGCTGGAGCTGCTGGTCCCGCCCCAGCACCCACGTCCAGTGACGGCAGGTGGGGAGTGCTTGCACCAGGAGAGGGGCGCGTGCTCCCACGGGCGCTCTCCCTGGAGGGCTGGGTGTGGACCCCCGGCAGCCCCCAGACCCTGCTGCTGGGGGGCTCCGCCCCAGGCTGTGTGTTGAGTCCCCGCTTCGCCCAAAGCACAGAAACCACAGGGTCCTGGTTCCCTTCCCTCCCGTCTTTGTAACTTTCTCCTCTGAACTGAGAAGCCTCAGTTCTCTTGTCCTCGATCGGTGCGACCACAGACGCCCAGGGCTCCCTGCAGCCAGGGCCGCCTCGGATTCCACGCCTCCAACTGCTCGCCTTCAAATGGAGGTTTTTGCCCTGCTGCTGTGGCGGCTGCTGTGGCTCCGTGGTCAGAGCGTCAGCCCGCCGACCCAGGGCCGAGGGTTCGATTTCTGGTCAAGGGCATGTGCCTCGGTTGCAGGTTCCCCAGCCCGGTCGGGGCACGTGCAGGAGGCAACCTGTCAATGTGTCTCACATCGATGTTTCTCTGTCTCTCTGCCTCCCTTCCACTCTCTCTAAAAATCAATGGAAAAATATCCTCGGGTAAGGATTAAAAAAGAACAATAAAAACAAATAAAAGTAAGGGGTTTGCATTTTTGTTTTTATCCTTACCCAAGGACGTGTTCATTGGTTTTCAGAGAGAGAGGAAGGGAGAGAGAGAAACATCGATCAGTTATCTCTCGCATGTCCCCGACCGGGTATCGAACCCACAACCTAGGTATGTGCCATGACTGGGAATCGAACCTGTGACCCTTTGGTGTAAGGGATGGCGCTCCAGCCAGCAGAGCCACCCCGGCCAGGGCTTAGTCACTCGCCTCTAAGCCGAGGTGGCTGTGCTGACGCCGAGTCCCAGGTGTCCCCTGTGATGTGCGTGTTTCCTGTCATGGGCTCCCAGCAGAGGCCCCGCCTCTGGGTCTTGAGGTTCCCTGTTGTGAGGCTCATGCTGGAGCCCTTCCTCCCCTTCGCTGTCCCCTCGGCCGCCCTGCCCGGTGCGTTTTGCTCACGGTTTTTGTCTGTCACCGTATGTCCGGCCGCCCTCCTGGGCCGTGGAGCTAGGAGACCCCGAGTGGCCCCACGTCCGGAGCATTGAGGGGCAGGCCCCGCGGCATTCAGCCGCTGACCGCCCTGCGTTCCGCTCGTGGATGAGGTTCGGACGGCGCTGGGGAGCGGGGAGCGCACTGATGCTGGTTGTGTCTTGCTTTCCGGACGTTCCAGTGCTGACCTCCCTGCCGGCCCTGGCGGTCCCGCCCTCCCACCCCG